CCAAAAAAAAATACACCCAAACCACTCCTCCCCTCACATTCCTCTTGGGTGTCTGAGTGCGTTTGTGTGTGCGTGCATTTGTGTGCGTGTGTGTGTGTGTGTGTGAGGTGATAACGGTAAATGAAAAGCCACGGTTGTTTTTTTTTATTTGGTAAAGGGGAGAGGGTGCCTTTATTGCCTTTCCATTCCTGAACTATTTCCCAGAGGCAAATATCATTCGCCGATTGTCAAAAATGACATAGTACTGTGTGCTTAGTTGGTCTACTTGTTCTCTTATCTCTTGCTCTTGGAATTTATTTTGTTAACATTCAGATTCGATGTTGACATATCTCGTGAATTCTAACCATTCTTGTTGTCAAATGAAGGCCTACATTTTTCAATGTTTTCTCCTTCTCTTACTACCACTCCCCCCCCCCTCTCTCTCTCTCTCTCTCTCTCTCTCTCTCTCTCTCTCTCTCTCTCTCTCTCTTTCAGGACATGCATGCACAAAAGTGAGTTTGGAAAGCTTTTAAGGTAATAATAGTGACCTCAAAGCAAGCCCTCCCTTTTGTAAATTAATCATGTTGAAGTTTCAAGAGAACATTCTTAGGTAATTTGTAGATTTGTATATTGTGTTTTTGAACACCCTCTCCGTGTGCCATAGACAAACGCACCTGCTGTTATATGCTGTTGAGTATAAGGAAAAAACATTGGCTTAGATAAGTTTTTGTCATAGTTAGTGTGTCACAACAATTAATTGTGTTTTGAACGCCTTAATGTTTGGCTGATTTCTCTTTTTTGTATTCATAAATTGGTTAGCGGACTCGCTGTCTTATTTTGTTTTCAATCGTGTCCATTGTTGTTATAATGTAATAGCCGACATGACCTTTTAGACTTGGTAAGATATCTTTAGTTACTTTAAAGTCAACCTCAAGTTCTTTTTTTCTTGGCGCCATTGAGTATTAGATCTAACTTAATCAACAGTCTAGAGCCTTCGAAAGTTCATGGTCGGATTTCGGTTACATTACGATGTTTTTCATGCTTTCTGGCATACTGGTTAGCCTCAGTGATCTCCATGACGAAGGGCAAATAAGCAAAATTCATGGAAGAGTTCAAAAGTTTCGATGTCTGTCAATCATCCATGTCCTTGAAGCTTCTAGTGTGCCACTTTTTACACGCTGTATTCTGCTTCTTGGCAGCTTCCAGTCGTTTATGCTCGGACACCAAGTGCCTATGTCCTTTGACATGGCCTGTAGAGTATTAAACTTCAGCAAAAGGACTAGAGGTCCAACTTACATTCTTGAATTAATTTTTCTTTAAAAAACTGTATATTTCTATCTTCCTCAGGACACACGCCATGTCGGAGACGCCATGGAGCTGAACACTTAGCTGAACGTCGGCTTGGAATCTCGCCCGGGAGACATCTTTTGTCCAGACGGAACGTTGGCTCCATTCGGTCAGCAGAACATCAGAGGGTCTTGTTCGGACGACCTAATAGTAGGAAAACCGTTGATATTCAGATCATCAGGATCCGAAAACCGTTGGTGGATAGTACAGACAGCTCAGAGGACGTGAGCACCTACTATTCCGAATCAGACACTGCAGGCCGGGAAAACAGTCGACAGAAACGTGCTCAGAAGAGGCGGGAAAATCGTCGTGACAGTCTTGCTAGACCGAGTAGCAGCAGCGAGAGTTTGACATTGCCGACTCTTTCAAAGAAGGCGTCGATAAATGCAAAGTTTACATTCGTGCCTAAGTTCTCAACTAACTCTAAGAGACGAACACGAAGTGCAAAGTTCACGTTAGGATCAAAGTTAACTAGAACAGACAACACCATGGGTAGCGGAGCATCCAAGGGTGGAGAAATGGTGGAAGACCCCGCCTACGCCCAGAGATCTACCGCGGCCATGAGCGGCCAGCAGGTAGAGTCTCAGGCCGGCTTCAGTGAAGGGCCGCCGTCCAAGTCCCAGGCGAGCTTCTACCCTCAGTCACGGTCACGTGCTCACATGTCCAGGCCAGGCATGAGCTCCATCGCCGAAGGCAGGCATTCTCGAGTTGGTGAGTAGGCTGGAAGAAAATCTACACGTTCATATAAGTTCACAATGTTGATGGCTGCATGAATGACCAACTCTGGCTTTCTAACTTATTTCACTTTGAGAGAGAGACAGAGAGAGAGAGAGAGAGAAAGAGAGAGAGAGAGAGAGAGAGAGAGAGAGAGAGAGAAAGAGTAAATTGCCTTCTTGTCGTATTGTGTATTTAGTGGTAAAATGGAGTTGAGAGCTCTTTACTCGTTTCCTTCCTTTTAAGTTATGTAGGCTTGTACATAAACCGATAATGAGAAATCAAATTATGTGCTCTCTAAGTGTCTAAGATACGTTTCTTTACTCATCGTGCCAAAGAAGTTTTCCCTTACATTAAGTCATAATAATGATGCTTTTCAGAACACAAAAAACTGAGTAACATCGACAAAGAAAGTGCATTCTTGATATCGTTGAAAGATAACCATATTTCTTACTATATTTTGTCTATCTCTTGTATCCTAATTACCGGTATTAGAGGGCGTTTACCCGGTGGTGCATGCTGCACTTTTTCTTAGACAAATCAAGAAAGAAACACAGCACCCTTTATGACATATAATATGTGTATTACATCTTCCTCTGTACCACTGTGTAGCACCACAATCAGCCCGGGTTGACTCTACCAGACATGTTCGAAGTCCATCTCCTTCATGGTCTAATATGGGGTGCCCATAGAGGGATCAGGTCGGGTCGGTTTGCTAGCCAGATTCAATTTGCAAAGCGGCTATCATGACACAAGCCGATTGCGCCCAACTTGTTGTCTCAAAAACAAACACGTTTGTTTTCAGGCGAGGAGTGGGGCGATCGACCAAACACAACTGGACCCGACACGACCTGACTCTACCCCACCTAACCCGTTGCCATCCGCAATGGGCACCCGATTTAAACTGTGTTGATTAGGACACAAAAGCACCTACACTTTTCCCTCGACCTTTTTCTCTAACTTTATTTCATTTCTGCCCGCTGACCTTTGAAATTACCTGTGTGACAGGACATCTGACGAAACCCAAAAGACAAAAATCTACTTTTGTTCTATGTGTCCTCCACAGAAGGTTACGACGTGCATGTGGTCCAAATCACTAAGGACGGCTTCTCCACCAGCGATGTAACCATCATGGAGGGCCAGCTGGTCACCTTTGTGTGGGATGACAGCTGTTCGCCAAACATGACGCTCATGCAGGTCAGTGGCACTGGTGTGCTGCACTCAGCGTGGCAGTTTCTTTGCTTGTTTGTCGGTTTATGCATATTGCCTTTGTCTACAAAGGAAAATGTTCTAGATTATTAATATAGAGTTTCTGCCTCATAACAAATATGATGCACTTAATTCATTGTGAACTTTAAGTGCCAAGCTGACTCATATGCTGACATCACGAATGAGAAATTCAACTGTGGGATTGTTTGCAAAGTCCATTCTCATGGTGTGCACTGAATGAAGAAACTTGATAGGGAATATGAACCCTTATTCCTTGTCCAATGCATAACCTTCTTTGTATATGTTTTGTTTGTCCATGATTGTCCAATATGAAACTCACACAGTCGAGTGCAACAGAGTCTCGGCACAGCTTTGAAAAATTACTGTCTTAGCAAGCTCTCAAATTCGGCCCTTGTATAAAACTGCTGGAATAGTTTTTGATGACTTTTCTATCGCATTTGAGTAAGAATTAAGATCAAGCCCATCTAGCTTAATTGTGATAAATTACTAAAAATTTGAATTGTACTTCACTTATGACAAGTTATGTTCCAAGATCTGATCCGACCAATGGTCGCACAAATCGTGCGCATCTTCTTTGTATACCAATTTTTGGCGTATGTGTCTATTCTTAGGTGGTGTATGATGGAGAGACTCTTCGCCCAGTCGTTGGAGGATACAGTGCTGCTCCCAATGACTGTAGAGGAGAATTCGAACAGCTCTTTAATTTGGAAGGAGAATACAAATTTGCCATGTAATTGTTTAATAATTTTTGTTGTTAGAACATTTTCTTCTTCAATTTGAGGGACTATAATGATGGTGAAAGTAAAATTTAGGCAAATAGTATTGTCATTTTTGTTGTATCTATAAGTGTATTTCTGCCCTGCAGATATTTGGAGTTAATTGTTCTGAATCAATCTTTGTATTTTTAAAAAGACATTCATTTCTATTTCTTTAGGTTCAAATTTATTTAGAGAAAGGAAATGTAGGAAAAATCTAAAACCTCCTCTAGTGAGTGATTTTTAAGATTATTATTCCTTAGATTGCTTTGAATAAAGTTTGATGGTTATCTATTCTTGTTATAGTTGTGGTAATCAGAATAAATTAGTTAAAACAGCCTGATTGTGAATAAGATATGCCCTTGAAATGGATAGTGCCTTAACTCTTTAACATGAGTGGACGATGGAAGCGTCCAATGAAACTCGCCCGGTCCCCGAGTGCGAGTGTACGGTCCAAGCGTCCGGTCAGATTACAGTGTGCATGAAGCATTACTGCTAATGCTATCTTTTACGAATCCGAATAGATTTATTTTGACTCTGAAGTTTTAGATAAAAATATAAACTGCTTCCTCTTTCTTTTTAACAGTTTTAGACATATTTTGGAACATTTTGCATGTCTCCCACGTTACTTGATTCACGAGATCTTGAAAAAATTCTGTCAAAAGCATGGAAAATAATTCCAAGGTTTAAGGGTTAAACATGTATGATATTGCTCAATAGCCATTGCTTTTTTCACTGTTTTTAATTTTCAAATCATTAAGAAATTATTTGTGCCTTGTTGTTCTACAGCAACAAAATCCGATGCACTCCTTTCATCGTGAATGTAAAGCGTCGAGCTGACCTGCACGCCGACGTCGCAGATGATGGATTTAACCCAAGGATCATTTGCATTGATCAAGGTCATGCTGTGCGCTGGACATGGAAAGCTTGCAACACTCCGCACACTGTGAATGAAATATTCTATGTCATGGAGCGAGGATGCTTTAAAAGACAACATGGCAAGAACCAGAACCTGGTAGCGACTGTCTCAGGAACACACAGACAGCAGTTCAAGTGAGTCTCCTGTCTTTTTTTAAAGATAGTTTGTCTTTCTTTAGGTTTCTGAAACTTAAAAGTTTTGTAAATTGCTGGTCATTGTCTCTTTAAGATATTTATACAATTCTATGTATACATTCTAATTAAACTTGCTGCCTATTTTATTACATGAGTCTACTCAGAATATATTATTTCTTTTTGGCTAACTTTGAGTTTCTGAGAATTCAATGTTTATAACATTTTTGTAAAACAATTTTGTCTGAAAGGGTTTTGATGGGGGATCAATTGCTTTATGAGTAAGTGGAAGAGTATCAGATCTTCATGCTTGTTTTCATTTTGTGTGAGCTGACAAAATATCTTCCTTAGTAATCAGGATCATGATATCAAGTTGATGATATTTTTGCTGTAAATCTGAAAAATGTGTCAAAGCTTCATCATTTGTTTCAGTCTACCCATGAATGTGATAGGAATTTTAATATTTTAGTTGGACAAATGTCACAACTGGGAGAGAAGTCAAGTTACCCACATCATAAAACTTGGATGATATCTGCTTGCATCTATGATACTAATCAAACTATCTATGTGGTGTTGATTGGGACAAGAAAACATTTACAATTAACTATTCAACATAATTTCATTAAGGTAAAGTTGATAAAGAGCTTAAAGTTTTTCTGACCACTTCTAATTCCTGAACTAAATGCCATTCCACCTCTTACTGGAAGTTCTTGTTTACTTTCTGCTCAGTCGGCCTGGACTGTACTACTTCAGAACCGAGAGTTCTGAACTGGGAAAGACTCACCTGTGCATCGTTTGTGTCCGGGAGGCTCCAAGGTAAGTCTTAGGCTCCACCCCATTGTGTGGGGATGTCTTGCAACGGAAAAAGAACTGAGTGACTAAATTTTTTACAAAACACAGAAAGTACAAACTAGTTTAAATGTTTGCATGTTATGCAACAGAGACTAATACAGTTGGAAAAACATTCATGAATAAACCAAGGGAGACTTTAGATGGATGATATTTTTAAAAAGACGTGAAATCAGTTCATTAAAATTGCAGTTCAGAATGCAATGGAGAAAGAATGGAACCTATTTTGGCAAGAGACTGTGGCTGAATTAGAGAATTTTGGTCATTGTGATGCTGATTATGAAGATAAAGATAATGCTGATGACGATGCTGAGCATTTTGGTCAAATGTTTTAGTCTCCTGACCTACATTGCCTCTTTTTATTTTAAACAATATTTATCAGTTTTCTGCTCTGTTTACTTTTTCTTTTTCTTTACTCTTGGACATCCTTGAGCGTCAGGTTGACACATTTGTAAAATTCTATTTAATTACTCCTTTTGAAAGTCTTTTTTTGGCTTTACAGCCATTTATTTTCAGTTTATTTTATATCTACAACTTCTACATTACTTAAAAAATTTACTTTTGTTCTTCCTAACAAAGAATGAAGATGATGGTGATTTGTGATTTTAATTATATTATTAATTATTGTAATATCGAACAATTTAGCCACTTTTTTGTTTCTGCTCTCTTTTCTTTTGATGCACTTGTCATTCAGATTGTTCAAAACTGTTCACTGATGGGGGAAAAAATTAATGTGACCCTAATGGTCAGTTAAATAAACCAAGAAAATCTGAAAAATCTTTTTTTGATGAGCATGTTTCTTTGGCTTTAATATATCTGTTCTCTTTTGGATTTTATTTACATTAAAATGTTATGAATCATGTTCTCTTCCCCATAGGGAGTACAAGGTTGATATTCTTGACCGGACATTTTCTCCGATGATCCTCCTGATACAGGAAGGTGATCGCGTATGGTGGTCATGGGACAAGAACAAGGTGAGCTTGACCATATAGCACCATAAGTTTTTCCGTTCCTGCTCCTCCATCTCCCATCCCCTCTTCCCACCAATCCACATCCATCCTACTCTTCTAAGCTCTATCTCTAATCTTTTAATCTTTAAATTGTTTTGCTCCTCCGTAATGCCTCATGTTGCTTGTTCATACATTACTAAAAAATAGAAGAGAAAGCAAAGTGTTAAAAGTGAACTTTAGTCTATATACTGAGAAGCTGAAAATTATGGACATGAGCCATACTTATGATTTTCTTAGAGCGATTTTGAACCTTTAAAGGAAATTTGTTCAATGATACGTACTTTCTCTTAAGACCCATAATAGAATGCACTTGTATTTATTTATTGCCTAATTGAACATAAAACTTGAAGTTTGTTTGACAGCCTCGGTGTTGTTGTGTGAAGGTTGAACATAATATTCTGAACTTGTGAGCTGCAAGCTCTTTCAGTCTCTCTCAACTGGCAAATAAAAAAATTGTTATTGTCTCGCTACTCTTTTCGCTCCATCCGACAGAGAAGAGTGTACTTGAGAGCATGAAATTGAGTGAGCAAACATTTCACTCAAATAAGATACAGACAGTCCCTCTTTGTTGCTCGTCATACTTTGTGCTGACAGTGACACTGTGGGGAAAAGGGGAGGGTGGGGGTGGAGGGAGATTGATCAATGTCTGCTGTGGAAATTAATAAATCAATCATTGTGTTGACTCAAGGGATATTGGCGGCTTCATGGTCTCGTGTTTGCTGTGTCTAATTATGTGGGATAACTCTGTGCAAATTTGTTTGAGAATATAATCCCTTTAAAGTGGGTTGGTGGGGGGCATCAGGAGTTTTTAGATAATCCTGTGTCTTTGGTGCCTTTAACATTTGAAAATGATGTATTTGCACTATCTTAATTCTTTAAGTTATTTACTTGTTCAGGTAGATATGGATGTGGCTTCAGTCTTGATGATTTGTACCCAATGTGGGCAGCTGAACACTTTTTTGCTTTCCCTTTTTTTTAAAAGAAAGTTTTCCAAAAACAAAAGAAAATTAATTTCACAACAGATAACATGAAAATGCCTCTTTATTCTACTCACTTTGCACCAGCATTTCAGTACTTATTTGCTTTTCAGTCTGAACTTGGCATTTGACTAACAGTTACTTAGAAACTTCCATGTTCACTGGCACATTATATCATTGTTAATGAATTCAGCGTTTTGAAAGAGATTTTGCGAATGATCAGTTCCTTTGACATATTGTGGAAAAAGCAGCATGAGTTGTTCGAAAATATGATTGTCATTGTGAGCCTCCTCAGCAAGTACTAGTCTGTGAATAGCTGGTATATTTGTATTTGAGGTGTCATTTTAACTTCAAATCTGCTCATTATTTTCTTGGAGATAATATATTGATCACTTTTATTATACTCTTCACAGTGTAAGAAACAGCATCACATCTATCAGATCGACGCCCCTGCTTTAGACCACAAAGATGATGCTCCCTATGAGGTAAGATACATTATAGTTGAGCCTAAATGAGTTAGAATACCGGATGGTGTGTGTTCAACTTATAGTTCTATTCAACTTAACATGCAGCCTGCATTAAATACTTTCCAATATCTTTTTCTTACTGTTTGTTATCTCTGAGGATCAGAAGGGAAGGGAGTGTTGTGAAGTTGGATGGGTACAGACAAATTTATTCTAAATGATTGCCTGTTGAGTTTGGGTTACTTCTTGGGAAAACTTTGTGATGTATAATATTTGGACCTTAAGTGAAACAATAGAAAGATGTGATAAATAATAAATGTGTCACGATGTGGTGGAATGAGGCGCTCGTCAAAATAATGAAATTGAAAAAAAATGGCATTTTTCTGCAATTGTTCTCAAATTATTTTTTTTGTTGTCTTAACATATTGTTGTCGGATCAAGAATACTTTTCTGGGTGGATTTTACTGAAAAATGTTGATTAAATGCACAAAAAATGTTAGTTTTCAGTTTGCACGGACTATTTAGCTATGAAAATAACCAAAATTTGGTGGCCATTTTCTAGCTAATTCTACCTTTGAAACCAGGCGTCCCCACCTTCTTCGATCTCAAATATCTTGACTTCTGTTCAAGATAGATGACCATTTATTAAACCCATAGCAAGACAACGGAACAAGCTTTATGATGATACCAATAACTCCACTCATGCTCAAAAATTGAAAAGCGCCTGATTCCATGTGCCACGTCGTGACACAAATAAAAGAATCGAGCTAAATGGAAAAAGCAGTTTGGTGTTGTGATGGAAGCCTCTTTTTTGTAGTAGAATTATTATGCTGGACTTCGAAACCTCAAAGTATTGCCCAAGACTTTGAAAATATTTTTTGGAGATTTGCCCTCCTTAGAAATGGGGGGTATTTTAAGAAAAAACTACATGGCACTTATGAAGAGTGTAGATTGGTCGTCTCCCAGTAGCAGCAAGACTAGTGACCTTCATGTAAACTTAGATACAAAATATTTAATACAAACCTTGATTAAACCATAAAGCAAATTGAAAAGAGGCATTTTGTGTAAGTTATTTTTTTTCTAACAGGAAAGGTCACATTGGATAATGAAGAGGGAAAAAGAAAAGTTTTCTATGCTTTTCTTTCTGGTTGTTATATCTGAGTATAGGAAGGGAAGAGGGTTGAGTGTAAATTGGGATGGGTGCTGACAAATCGTAATTTTATAGGGTTGTTTTTTGGGCTATTGGTAGTTTGAGTTACTATACTGGAAAACATCAAAATGTGTATATGTATATATCGATCTTATGCAAAGCAAGACAAAAAAGTGATTTTCATACCATATGAATTTGTATACTGTCAATATCTTAATTGAGAGAAGCACATCTAGGTTAAATTGCTATTTAGTTATGGAAAAGGCAAGACAGCAACCAGAAAAAAAAGCTATAAGATAGTAAAGAAGTCAAACCTACCAGCTTTTGCTTCATCTGTCTCAGTGTATTGATATAGCTGTGTTTTCTCATTTTCCTCCAACAGCCGACTCCAGAAGGTTTCAAGTGGCATCAAAATCCAAGGTAAGATATAGATGGAAAAATGTCCTTGTATCTAGCAGATATTGCTCTCTTTTTCTATAACCATCCTCTTCAATTCACTTTTTCAATTTTTTTTTTCTGTGGCAGATGTGCCTCACTTCAATATGATTCTGCAGTGGACTCCCCAGAAGTAGCATGCTTGTGTTTGAAAATTTTTATTATTTTTGGGGGTATTTATCATTTTAAAAATCATTATCCTTTTGAGAATTGATAAAGTTGCCCCTACTTATATAACAATACTGTAAACCAAACACGTTTATAATCTGATCATTTAAATAAAAAGATTCTCTAAATAATTTGTGCTCTTTAGTCACACAAATTGTAAAACTCTCGTTTTCGCAGCCACCAAGGTCTGATGAGCCATGTTTTCCGACATCCTGGAGTCTACTACTTCTCTGACCAGAACTATGATGAGGCAGCCGAGTACATGGGCACCATCATTGTCAAACCAAAACCCAAGGAACATCAGGTGGAACTCAAGGGAAAAGGCTTCAACCCAGGTAAATATCGTTGTTTATACACATCACTCGCTTCTCAGATTGGCACAAAAAGCAACAAAATTATCATTTGTCGCGTTCTCAACAAAACAATGAAATTAAAGAAATTGTCTCTTGTCCAACTGTTGGGCATTTTGTACAATTTTGTTTTGGCTAAACTCCTTTTTATGACCTGTTAAAAATGCATTTCCATTAAGAATTTATTATAAAATGTTGATCAAAGGTAGAAAAATGTAAATTTTAAATTTCCAGGAACACTCAAGTAGATTGCAAACATTTTGACTTTTATCGATGTTTTGAACCAATACGTCATAGTTTCATATCACCTTTGATGGAACATTCAGATGACTTGTAGAGAATGCTTGGGCTTACTTTTTCTTACTGGGTTAAATTGTTGCGGACCTTATAACACTACAATCCTAAACAAAACCTCTTTTATGATGCCTGATATACAGGAATTAGCTCTCAACTCGTTCGCTCAAACAATGAAAGGCAAATTAGTATTCATTTTTCCAGTTGTTTGGTATTGTGATTCCTGTGTTTACATTTAATTTCAAAATGATCCCAACGGTGGAACAAATAACACAACATTAATGCCGTCACATTTTCCTCAGTTTCTTTGTTCCATTTTTTTCAGATGTCGTATACGCCAACACTGGTGATCGCATCTGGTGGACCTGGGATGGTGACGCTGTGGCAGATGTGAAGGAAACTCTCCTCATCCTGGAGGAAGACAAAGTCTTGAACCCAGTGTCTCGAAAACAAGAAGAGCCGGAAGATGAAAGTGAGAGAAGAAATAATATGAAAACTGCTGCTGAGAATTATGTTTAGTTAATGTTTGATCAAATTTTTTCTCTGGTTTGGATTTTTAAAATAACTCTTTCAAACCCTGTAGTATATTTCATCTGCACAACTCGTAATGAGTAGTAATTAAGCCCTTTGCATTTTGAGAAAATCGGAAATAAAACAATTGTAGTGCTTGGTGCAGCTACTAATACTGAATGTGTCCCCGTGGCTGTATCAACATTCATAGAATGGAAGACATTTAGCTTATACAGACCCATTGTAATCTCTTTTTATTACTTATTTGTGGGTTTGGAGTCTATTTCAGTGTGTTCAAATTTTTCAATCTAGTGATGAAAATATGGAAAAATCAGTATATAAGAACCCAGTCAACTTCTTAGCTGTGAATCAACTGCCTTGGTGAGCCTTTAACTTATCCTATCCAGTACTACCAAGGTCAGCAGAGTCATAGCTTCTGACTTTTGTCTCATTCTTGAATGCTTTAAAAACTTTTCACATTGATATTCTAGAGTTCAAAGTTGAATTTCTTACACCAGTAACACTGAATGGCTTTTTTATTATTGTATGTGCTTTTGTCGAATCTTTCAGAAACCAGAAATGATCTTTTCTGAAGCACCATATTTTTTAGCTGGATGCAAGACTCGAACAAATGCCATTTTGCTTTTTAGAGTTTGTCAGAGTCTTGCACACGGCCATTGATATATTGTTTAGAGGGGAGATTTTCACAACTTGATTAGTTGAGTGACATTTCCTTACGAAATTCTGTGAAATTAGAAAATCATGAAATTCCTTATATACATTATGTCTTCTAAGTTTTGTCATTGCTTAGTGCTATAACTTTTTGAGAGAAAAAAATCAGAGCCTGATAATGGAACTCTGTGTCTTTTCCTGTCTCGCAGATCTCCTTCAAGGAATGAACTCGGACGCCCTACAACTCATGACCCGCAGCGGTCTGGCCAGTGTCAACTTCACTACCATCGGCGTCTACACCTACAAAATTTCTGATGTGGCCGACAACTTTGACTCTTGTTCTGTCATTGTTAACCCTGGTCCCAAGGTGAGATTGTAGCACTCTAAAGATTCTTAGTTCCTCATAGTTTAGTTGTTTCACTTAAGGAATGTGAATGTATATCATCATAGAAACTGCTTTAAATAATAACAAATAATAAATAGCATTTGTTTAGTGCGGGGGGCTCAAGAGCAAGCTCTATGTACTTTTCACTATATTATTACCCCAGCAGACCGGCATAGAAAATTCCGAAACATTCTCAGCTTCCCGAAAAGCATACAGTGCAAGCAGCTGATTAAGCGCTCAAAGACTTAACAAACTGACAAGATCTTTCGCTGTCCCTAACTGGGTACCCTTTCCCTCCTGGGTGAAGTGAGGAAAATTCATATTAAGTGTCTTTCCTAATGACACAATGTCGGGCCCCTAATGGGATTCGAACCCACGACCTTATGGTTGCGAGTCCAAAAGCCTAACCTTTAGGCTACCGACACCACAATAATATACTTTATGCCTCATTGACACTATTTGTATTATATAGGAGGGGACCTGCCTGTCGGGGCCAGCTCAGGCTGAATGGGATACATATCGCCGAGAATTCACAATAGACTGACTCCTCATGAGAATCAAGACTCTCACTCTTCGTATATGGCCAATGTACTTGCATCAGTTATAAATTTTGGGGGGGGGGGGGGGGGGTGCATTTTAGAATCGCTAACTTTATTCCAATGTTAAGCATGAAAAAAAAAATAAAGGGGCAACAATGAAAGTTAACCCTTTGAGCCCTGATCTCCTGAGGTTACTGCTTCTCTCTGTCTCAGCTCCTGGGAGATATATTACTAACCTCCATAAGATCATCAGAATCACTTTCCATACACCACTCAGGGTAGTCCTCGTCATTTCCAGCATCTAATTCTGAAAGTTCTTCAAAATAATCAATAACGTCCGGTGGCAAGAGGTCAAAGGGTTCATGTTTTTTGGGTTAATTGACTGGTGAAGACAGTAAAAGAGTTGGTAATACTAAGTTGAAGAATTAATTGAAAAGAAAATCTGTGGGATAGAGGCAGATGGAGTTTGCCAGAAGCTGAAACTGTTGGGACTTTTCAACTTTATTATGAAAACAGTTAGTATTGACAGGAATATGTGTACAGCTGGTGTCTATGGTATAATAGTTTAGGTTCTTTGACTCAGAATGAAGAAATGAGTTAAATTCCTCCATTTTAAAATATCTCTTTTTAATTTTCACAGAACCACACGATACATCTGACAGATACAGGATTTGAACCCAAGGTGGTCACCATCCGACCTAATGACAGGGTTTGGTGGGTGTGGCAAAGTGGAAAGAAACAGCACAACATCATCCAGGTAACTCATCTCTCCCTCTATTCATTTCTCTCTCTCTCTCTCTCTCTCTCTCTCTCTCTCTCTCTCTCTCTCTCTCTCACACACACACACACACACACACACACACACATGTTCTCTCTTTCTCTCTCTCTTTCTCTCTCTCTATCTCTCTCTTTTTACCTCTTTCTCTTTGTCTTGCTCTCTCTTTCTCTTTCTATCTCCCTCTCGTCATTGCCTGACTTGTATTTTGTAAGTGTCTATATGTTTGTGTGTGTTTATGTTTATGTAAACACTTGTATTTAGAGAGCAATAGAGAATGAGAGAGAGAGAGAGAGAGAGAGAGAGAGAGAGAGAGTGAGTAGAGATGAAAAAAGGAGGGAGAGAATGAGAGACAGGGGGAAAGAAAGAGACAGACAGACACGACAGACAGACAGACAGACAGACAGACAGACAGACAGACAGAAAAACAGACAGACAGACAGACAGACAGACAGACAGACAGACAGGCAGGCAGGCAGACAGACAGACAGACAGACAGACAGACAGACAGAGATGGAGAGAGAGAGAGAGAGAGAGAGAGAGAGAGAGAGAGAGAGAGAGAGAGAGAGAGAGAGGATGCACATGTGTAGATGTCTCTCAGTTTGTACTGGCCTGGCCAAGCACCTTGGAGCAGGACATAGAAACAAAAGAGATTTTTTCTTTAATTATCCGTTTTTCAAAACTTCAATGTTTGAAATGCCTTTATTGTCTGATATTTTCAAAAGAGAATGTATCATAAGTAGCCAAAGAGAGGATCCTCACTTCATCTCCCAAAAATGAAAATGAATTTAGAAACATAACATTGAAATTTTAAAAATTAGTTTTAAAAAAGAACATTTATAATAATAATGATGATAACAATAATAATTATAAAATATTATTATTATTATTATTATTATTATTATTATTATTTATTATTATTATTATTATTATTATTATTGTTATCATTATTATTATTATTATTATTATTATTATTAATATTATTATGATGATGATGATGATGATGATGATGATGATGATGATGATTATGATGATGATGATGATGATGATGATGATGATGAAGATGATGATGAAGGATTACCTTTATTACCTGTCCTGGGCAACAACGTCTTTGCACACCAGACAGGTCCATAAGTGCTCAGTTCCCCCCAGCACCAAAGCCCTCAAGGTATCCATACTGATTGTTCCGGTGGCTGTCTGATTATGGCGACGTCTTTCCTTTCCAGATAATCATTCCTTTCTTCCTTTTCCCCTCTCTATCCCCTTTTCCCGCTTCCTAATGATTGCGTGGTGTTCTGCTGTCTTCCTGTCTTCTTCACCCTGCAACTTTTTCTCCAGGGTCTTCAA